GTGAAATATCTCAGGTCACAAAAGGAAAAAGGCTGCATAACACCCCTGTTATAAAAATAGGATGACATGAGTGAGGGGAGAGCAGGGAAAGAATGAGTAGATAATGAACACTACACTGGGATGGGAGAAGGCAGGGACTTCCTGAAAGGGATGGATGGATGGATGGGTGGATGGATGGATGGATGGATGGATGATTAGATATTGTGTGTATGGCAACTAACAATCTGGAATAAGACACGAATGGGAGGGGAGAGGAAAATGTGTATATCAATGAACGCATGAAAACTCATCCTTTCTGTAAACTTTCACTAAAATCAAAATTTAAGAAATAAAAAGTATTTACTACATTAGATAATGACGAGGCGTTGGTGATAGACCTAACCAGGAAGTTCCGTAGTCTTAGACTTTATGTTATGGTCACTGATGAGGCATATGCAAACTGAATAAAAAGTCAAAATAACTCAAAGTCACTGTTGTTGAGCCAGAACTCACTTAGAGCTGACCCTCCAGCTGGTTTTCAGAGACTGTAAATTGCACAGCTAAGATTGCCTGTCTTTCTCCTTCAGAGCAGTTGATAGATTCAAACCAACTGCCTTTGTGTTGACTGTGCAACTCCTTACCACTAGACCCCCAGTGCTTCCTACACATAATAATAAGCCTGATTAACAAGTGACTCTACTTTGACAGAGGAATTGAAATTTGAGGGAAGTTTGCACAGAATACAAAATGCAAACTTATACACAAGGACTGGAGTGATTTAAGAATATACTAGTTAGTATGCTCAAAAAACGTCTTGAGGACGAGTTTATCTGTCATTCTCCTGCTGATATAATGTGTGTTAATATGCATTGTCTTCCTTGTCCTGCCTTCTCTGTGCCTTTTCATTGCAGTAAGGAAAGAAACCGTGAAAGGAACAGGATGGGGAGTCAGTAAATATAAAGAATCAGCCTCTTAAAGTTGTTGTCTAAGTTTAGGTGGTCTGGATTTGGTTTGGTTTGGTGTTTATAATCATTGCTTTCAGGTCTCGGAGAACCTTTGAAATTGCTGTTGTTATGTGCTATCAAGTTGCTTGCAACTCATAGTGACCTTATGCACAACAGCTCTGAAGCCTGCTTGCTCTTGAGCCAAATTCATTGTCTGTGACACACCTGCCCCTATGACCCCAGTCACTGAGTCAGTCCATCTCATCCTGTTGCTTTCATAGGCAACAACTCACTCAAAGTGACGATTGTATGGTGAGACTGGTGATATCACATATATCTTGAGAGAATGTGAAAAGTTTCATTACTTACAAAATTGAGACCTCTGCAGGGAACGGGGAAAGGCCTCTCAAGCAGGCCTGAAATGCTCTCTTGAGAGAGCAAGGGAAGAAGACTGGCCTGAGTTTTTATTGTGGTTGGGTGGTAGGTCCAGGGAGAGGGTTACCACAGGAAGGGATGATCATAATTCGAATCTCCTGCTGGTGCTAAAGCAGGAACACACAGGCTTATCAGCTTGCCCACATGTGAAACACAAGGAGAGGAAGCCAGGGTGAGGTTTAAAAGCTATCAGTATTATTTTTACATGTCATCTTCTCTGTATCATTCCAATTTTAGTATATGTGTTGTTGAAGTGAGCACTCAAGATTATTTTTAAAATGAAGTCAGACATTTTATAATACTTTCCAAGTAAACAATAGGGTTTAAATAAGCAAACTGTAGCATTAGGACAGCCACCCACACCTGCCCTTCCTCAGTCCCTCTCTGACACCACTCCTGGGAATGAAACCATCCAGGCTTTCTCTAAGACATTATTTAAATTTGAGGATGAGAAACCCAATAGCCTTTGGTTGGTTTAGCTGTTGAGGATATTTCTACTATTTACCATTACCGAGTTTGGTTTTCGATTCAATGCAGGTTCAATTGTATTACTGATCGAGCTGCTGGTCAGAGTTCTAAAGTACTGTTGCAGTGGTTAAGTGCTCAGCTCCTAAGTGGAATATTGGTGATTCGAACCCACAACCACTCCTTGGCAGAAAGCTGGGGCATTCTGTTTCTGCCTTGGAGGCCGTGTGGTACAGTTCTATTCTGTCCTACAGTCACTCTGATTGTTAATTACTCAGCAACAATGTGTTTGAGGTTTGAGGGTTTTTTTTGATAGAATCCACAAGTACATAGCCTCAGCAGATGGGACTGCCTGACTGAACCTTGCTTTGCCTGTTTTCTGAGAGTTACTTATCTGATCTTTTTATTCGTTATACATGATGGAGAGTGTTTATTGATGGAAAAATCTATTCTACTGTCTCATGCTAAATAATGAGCATATAAAAATATTTAGTTAAAGGTTTGTAAAGGTAAAATATGTAGTCATATTTAATACAAAAAGTTGATACATGAAATTAGAAGGTAAAGTTAGAAGGAATATCTTGTATTAGTTAACGTGGTTAACAAAGTATCAGTGAGACATGAACTTACAGTGTTCCCTTGCAGTGACAGCCCTGAAATAAACCAAGAACACATCTGGGATACAGCTAATTGGATCAGAGAGTTTAGTTACGGTAAAGTCACCCAGCAATCACTTCTCATTACCTTGAATATAAGGTCTCTGTTCCTCTCTCCTCATGGAATTTAGTGAGGAAAGGCCATATACAAATGGAATAAATAGTAATAAAGAGAAATCCCTCCCTCACTCATTGCTACAGCACTGGCCCATAGCTGACCCTCCAGCAGATTTTCAGAGGCTGTAAATCACAGAAGAAGAGATTGCCCATCTTCTCCCTTGGAGCAGCTGGTGGATTCAAACCTCTAGGCTTTGGGGTAGGCAATTCAACTCCTTACCCACTGGGCCACCAGAGGTCCCTTATAAGTAAATAGTAAGTAGTAATTAATCAATGCACTCTATTTTGTCAGAAGAATTGTGATGAAGTTTGAGTGAAGTTTGCATAGAATATACAATGCTCTCACTCCTCTAAAGGGCCCCTTTGGCAGTAGGAAGCACATAGACTGTTATGGAGATTGATTTATGGAGATTGATTTTGGAATTTAGATGCACTGTTATTAATTGTGCTTAGCCGTACATGTTCATATCCTTGAAGATGTATCATGGGGGTGTTGCAACTTAGAAGACACAAATTTGACTAACAA